CGGCTCCTCACTATGTCGCGATCTCCTCGCCAGATTCCCCCAAGTCGCTCGAGAGCCCTGCGAACTCCTTCCTACCCTAGCCTCTCGTCGATCTTCCTTCTCTTCGCATTTGAGCCTTCCTTGCACTAAAACTCCAGCCGCTCCTCCCTCACGTGGAATCTTACGCTTTACCTATTTCATATAAAATGAAGTCTTGGTTCTATTAAAACATGTCTAACCCTTTAATCCCCCGTCTAATCCAAAATCTGCAGTCGAATCGAAGAGCAATTCCTTTTTGTTATGTTATTCTACTGCTCATTTTATTTTATCTTACTGTGCATTTTATATGTTGTTAAGAATTACATAAAATAAAAGAAAGACGATTTCTTATTATTCTTTTGTCGTCGTCGTTGCTGAGCTCGAAAGATAGAATTTTACAGCGAAAAAAAGGAATTTTTTTAAAATATTCACTCAAGGAAGTGTGGGAACCCGTTCATGGGGAAATTAAGTACCGTTTGAGAAAAAGTACGGACTCGTTTGAAAAATCTTTTAAAAAAAGAGAATTTTAAAATAACCACTCGTGGGAAAGTGAGTGCCTGTCTATGGAGAATTGATTACTGTTCAGGAAAAACAAAGTACCACTCGGGAAATGTTAGTTTGCGAACAAACATATTTGTGCGGGTACATTGCAAGCCCGTTGCGTCGTTTTAAAATCGCGGGTTAATTATAATTTTTGCTCCACGGCCGCAATATCCACGACACTGAGTAGCTCGTCTCTTAATATAGCTGGGAAGGTTGACATCCTCTGGTGCCCCCAAAAGGTGGCTAATGCCGGGAGACTGCCTGATTTTTTGGCAAATTTTGGACTTGTAAATAAGAAAATTTTTAAATTTTTTTGGCTTAAAAAATAAAAATATAATGTGAATCACTTAAAATTTTAAAAAGATGAAAATTTGAGCTTTTGAACAGGCTCTTAGGATTTTAAAAATATTTAAAGTCTTGGGTTTTTAAAATATAGACTCTTTAGGCTTGAAATTATTTTAAAATCTGGTTTTTTAAATATTTAGACTCTTCGGGTTTTAAAAATTTTAAAATTTTGGGCTATTAAGTTATGAATTTTCAAAGTTTAACAAATTAAAATTTGGATTTTAAAACTTGAGCTCATAAATTTAAAAGTATTTTATAAGATTAAGCTTTTCAGACTTAAACTCCTACAACTTGGAAGTCAATTGAAAATTGAATTGTTCAGACTTGGGCTCTTAGGGCTTAAAAAATGATGCAAAATATACAGTTTTCCTAAAATTTAAAATTAATCGCCCCCACTACCGGATTCGCAACATATCTGCTAGCAACCAGATTGCGATAAAATTCTTAAAATAAAAACTTGGGTGCAATTCAAAGTCATAATATTCACAGACTTTCAAAATGCTTAAGTAATTTTATGAATTTATCAAGTTTTAAGAAAGCATTTGATTTCAATATATATACCACAATACTTATGCAAGCCTTTCAAGATGCGCTCTTTGAAGCTTTTTAATCAAATACATGCTATAATTCATTTAAAATGTCTCAAGACATCAAATGCTACAGCTAAAATAGGTTAAGTACAGAAAGTTAAACGCCCGCATGTGCTCCAACCAAAGTATTAAATGTTCAAATACAAGGTTCGAGAATATTGTGCCAGCTAATCAGGTCGCCTTATCCACAAGATATGGTTGTAAATCCCACTCAACAAGTTTGATCCTCCTCCTTGCAAAGACGGGAGTTGACAAGTCTAGTAGTTTTAAAATAAATGTTCAAATCTTAAAAAAAGAATTTAGAAAAGTCTAAATCTAGTCCAATCCTCCTAGCTATAAGGACAGGAGTCGGCAGAACTTATAATTTGAAAATCTTAAACTAACAAAACTAAATGTCCCTACTTCAAATACAAAAGTTTTAAATGCTCAATACCTCGATAATGGACGTGCTGATTTAAAATTTCAACCGGAGAGGTCAATCTCTAAAATCAAGATCTTTTAAAATAATCAACTAATATTCAAGCTGAAATTCAATCACTTAAAAGACTTAAAGCAAAATCTCATATGTCATCTACAACAGTTTGTCGAGGGTAAAAAATTTATGATTGACTTCAGCTCACAAAAAACGGATGTCATATCAAATACACGTCTATATTCACAATAAAAGTAATTGCATGTCAATAAAAACGTGGTCCGAGACCCCTGCCAGCATGGTTCTGCCGCCAAATGACATCACAAAATAACAGTTACGACCGGCTTTTAGACCAGGTGGTTGCCGCCAAATAACACAATTATACTACAGTCACGACGTAGCTTGTATGTTCCCCAGCAGCTTTTTATCATTTGAGTTGTGAATCATAAGGGTACAGTTGATTGACACAAATTTTTCTATTAGCCAAGGTTAACTAAAATTTATCCACTTAGACAAACATCCACCCCATATCTACAGGAATCTATTAGACGACACAACTCATAGCTGCTGACAAAAATCCTTTTGTCAGGTTGAGTCGACTAACTCCTCTAACTAAGTAGATTAGAGAACATGACGACCCTGGATGACAAAATAATGGAATCTTGATCGAGTTTCATCTTCACTCTCCCACCATCCGCTTTAAGCTTCAAGTGATGAATTATATAATTTAAATCATGTCTGCTACTATTATATATAAGATTCAATTCTTAATTACTAGCTCTAATCGAAAGTGATTTCTTGTTATCAGGAGGAGTAATTACCTACAGGGGATTGCACCTATGGGAAACCTCGAACCTCATATCAAAAATTCCTCACAAAATGAGGGTGAAATCTCTAGGTAGTGTTTTATCTACACAATCATAACTGCCTTTTGAAAACTCGACCCTCCAAAAGCTCTCTCAACAAAAAAAAGAACAAAAATGCAAAGTTCATCGGGGAACAATCCTGAATTTTCAGAGCCCACACAATCCATTGGTATGGGAATGAACACAATCCTGAAACACTAAGTTATGACTGCAAAATGGAAATTAAAACTTATGAATGAAAGAGCATATCCAATTATGATGGTAGCAAAAGGGGAACACCCAAAAAATAGAAGAAAATCTTCAACGAGAAAATATCATAAAAACAACAAACCAACATTCAAAAGCAAACCTAGTGTTGTCATATTTAAAAAATCTATTTCTTTGTTTTGTAGTTTTCTGTCACAGTAATGAGGCAATAGTCAACTCTTTGAGAACTAGTTTACCATCTTTTATATTTGTCAACAACAAAAGAAAAAACATAATTTTTAATAAACACCAGAATTTCTACTGAGATAACTCAGGGTTTGTTTGGCTATTGTAAATTTTTTTTAAATATTTAGAATGCAGCTTTCTAGCAGCCACTGCACTTAACCAAGTCAGGTTGCACAAAGCAGTTTTCCACTGATGCACCATCACACTGTCATTAGACCGTTGTTCTGAACGTACCCTCAATTATGCTTCAAACTTTTATTTTTTTTATTTTGACAGAAGTGGATAACTTCAGCTCTCATGCCAGTATCATTATGGGATCTTATTAACTGATGTGCCATGTCATTGTCAAGGTACAACAAATAATACAATGACAATATGAAGTGAAACGTATACAGACAATTGTGTGCTTGTAATAAAAAAAAATATTTAGATAACAATTGTTTAGATGAAAAAATATAAATATAACTTAATTACAAATAAAGTAAATAGAGCAGAAGCTAGTCCTTTATCACTTCTTTCCCTTCTAAGAAACAACAATGAGATTAAACTTGCTTATACTCAGCAAAGAAACCATTAGATACCACATGGCATTAAGAATCCACAGGATTTGGTTGGGCATGAGCCCTATTAGGTTACACAAGAACCCAACAAATTCAAATATGTAACTCCACAAAATCATTTAGCTTTAATTTTTCCATAATATTTCTCCGGCCTGTTTTGTGATATGCAGTCACAACCTTTCATGAATAATTAGCCATGATGTAACACTCAACTCTAACATACCCGTTAGTTTTTCTCCTTGTCATATAACCTTACTAAAACCCCAGAATCATCCATTGTTACTACAAAGTCACTAAAAGAAAATATCATACATAGAGGTGTGAGTCAAGTTAGCTCGTGAGCCGGTTAGGGCTCGACTCTATAAGTGGCTTGTGAACTGAGCTAAATGAGCTAACAAGCCAATCTCAAGCCAGCCCCAGCTTGATTCGTTAGTTAGTAAGCCGGCGAGTTTAAAAAACAATTTATATAAAATACACTTAAAATTATATTGAAATTCAAGTTTATCTTTAAATTATTGAAAATGTGTAAAAAATTATGCTTTATATTTTATATCAAGTGATTTCTTATTATTTATCATCTAATTATTCATTACATTCATCACTTTAAAATAACACTAACTTGAATTAATATTTTTTTTTCTCTTTTTCATAATAATCAAGCAGGCTCGTGAGTCAGCTCGAACTCGTAGAATTAAGCTTAGGTCAAGCTCGATTAAGTTAACCAAGCTCAAGCTCAAGCCAACTTGACTCGTTTACACCCCTAAATCATAGATAACTATTTTCCAATACCTTTCATTTTCAATTTACTATTCCAAACATTCTCTCATTCTGGCCCACCAAGAATAATACAAAGGCAACTCACTCAGAAATTTGCATGCATTTTAAATTTCAAAACATGCAAGTATGGAAAAGGGAACTTTATTTTAACAAAGGCATAGATCAATAATTTTTTTTTAAATTTTCATGAAGTATACCACAATGGTTATAGTTCTACATATTAAAAAATCTAAAGTTGAGCAATAAATAAAAGTTCAAAAGGCACAACAAAACATGGTTAAACTTTTGAATTTGTTTAATGCCAAATATAAAAAACTAATGAATTTCACAATCCATTCGTGTTATTAAGTGTTTTATCAGAACTTAGATTATTCTAAATTCATCAATATTTTCCTTATTTTCATGTCAAGAAAGAATTGTTTATTTATGTAAATTGTGCCATAAAAAAAAATGTTACCTATAGAACTCGCGTATAGCTGATATTGACTTATGTCTTAGAGTCTCTTCGGATAAGGCTTTGGGTTCAGATGCGCTTATTTTGCCACCTGAAGAACCAGGTCTCCTCCCCGTAATAGATACCCCGGACCTATCAAAAGCACGATCCACGTGATGCAAGTCTCTCATCCCAACAACAGAGTTACGATCTTGAAAGTTTGTTTGATTATTTGTTACCACTGATGACCTATCAGTCAAATACTTTGGCATGCCTTCTTCTCTAGCGGTAGAAGGCATTCTATCAAGTGTAGAACTGAAACCATTAGGACCTGATGCTAATCTATGAGAATCACCAGTTCTGGCAGATGTTTCAGTTAAAGGAACATTTGATACAAGCCCTTGTCCTCTGCCAGACATTCCCTTTGCAAGACCTCCTTGAGGACCGAGGGTAATGGAACCAACATCTGCAGGCCTTTGAGGGAGAGGTACTGAAGATAGCATTCTACTCTCAAACTGATTCCTATTATCCAACCGAACATCTTGGCTACTCAGACCTCTAATCTGCCCAGGAAAACCACGAATGCTACCACTCAGCTGAGAACTTGGAGAATTAAGTATTGTAGACCCTCGGTGACCATAATCAATAAGTGGCCCACGTTTTGAAGAGATAATAGAACCACGTGTCAGTCTAGTGGTTTGAGCTTGTCGCTCTTGAGCTGCATCTCTGTGCACATCATCAATTTTCTTTGGACCTTCAACCTTCCTTCTTTGCTGCCATTTGTTCTTTCTAAGATCAATTGTGTCCTTAAGCATGAACCTAACCCGAGAAGAAAGTTTTTGGTTTGTTGAGAGTCGTGCCATCATCTCAAAATAAGCATCCAAATTTTCCCGGGCTTTGGAATGATCTATCGTCTCTCCAATGGTACTCATCAACTTGCACAAGGCCTCAATATTCTCCTCATCAGGGTTCTGATACTGCCCCAGCAGCTTCTGGATGCATCCATGCATAATACTTTCTGTTAACATCCTTTTTTTATACAGTTCTCCAATCAGCCGAATATTTCCCAGCATACGCCTTCTTGCCTGCATTCTTTTTTCCTCCCTCTCTGCTTCAGAGAGATGAATTTCACCCTCTTCAGCATTGTCAGCTTCAGCTTCTTCTCTTTCCCCTCTCTCAAATTCTTCCTGACATTTGTTCAGAAGCAACCTTCTAAAAGTAACCTTTTCATTGTCTTCAAAAATCTCAGGCAAGTCACTAGCAAGATGGAAGCAGAAATCAGCATACATTTCACAGAAAGTTGGCTCCATCAATGCTTTGTCAAAAATCTGTGAGATGACCCCATTAAGAGTCACTATGTTGTCAATGTTGACCTCCTTAACTTTGCCAAATAGTTTTTCAAAATTTTGAGGTGTTAATTTGTTCAATATAGCCTTCAATTGCCTCTGTTTCTGCTCTTCTTCATCAGACACTTTGCCAACTTCATATCTATTAGAAGACTTGTGCATTACTTGCATAGATCCCTGCGGAGGAGGCATCAAGCCTCTTTGAGTGCCAGTACCTCGCTGCCACCTGTCAGCATCAGAATTATACCTTGTAATCCCTCCCTGGGATGTCAAAGACTGCATAGGACCAGACAGTAATCCACCAGATAACTGGTTGGGAGACTGTAAACGAGGATTTCTGAGGACACCCTGGGTAACTCCTTGTCCAGGACGAGCATTCATAGCAGCAACTCCATGACTAAGATCAATGCGGAATCCTTTCATCCACCTATCATCATCTGAAATGCCAGCCATGCGTCGGTCACCTCGAGAAACACCTGGAGATCTATCGATAATTCTTACAGGACTAGGTAACGCATCACGGTCAATACCACGGCCCATACCTACTTGAGCACACATTAAGATATCAGTAATGTCAGATCCAACCTCAAACCCAAGGGGAAGATTTTTCCATTGCTCTGAAAACTTTAATAGAAAATCTCGAGAATATTTCTTTTTGCCATTAGACTCTTTTCCAGAATCAACATCATGCATATTCTTTTCCATATGAGCCAGCTCACCATTATCAGATCTCAATTCTCGAGTAGATTCATCAGCAGCATCCTCCCAGTCATCAATTTCAGCTTTAGATTGTTCATCTAGCTCATTAGCTGCAACATCAGCATCAGTGTGACCTTGAACAGTGTAATTCTTTGAATTGGCTGCTAAAGAACTTTCAATAGTTTCTGAGGTTCTTATAGAGACCAACTTTTGATCTGGACCCTTATATGCATTATACAAATCAGAAGAACCAGCAGCATCTGCCTTTGAAAGAATTTCCTTCATCTTCTTCTTTTTATTAGTCTTAGATATATTTGCCTCTAAAGAAGTTTTGTCCGGCAACCCTGAAGGCACTGATAGTGTTTGGCCCGATGTAGAGAGCTCCATAGTTTTAACTCCCGGTTTAAATTTTATTTCTGAACCTGTAGGCATGGGAGCAATCTCCAACAACAAACTTCCATGTTCACTAGTACCAACATTCACAGAATGTGTTTTACGTTTATCAATTTTAGAATCAGTAGCTGGGATTTTAGCATCATTATCATCAGTAAAAGACACCTGATCAGAAGCGGTAACTTCAGCATCCATATTATCTGGGAATATTGTAGCAGGCACATTTGAAACTGTTTCTGTCCTCAGGACCGAGTAATCCTCATCTTCCTCCAGGCTACTAAACTGTAGATCAACACTGTCACAGAGCTGAGAACCAGTTTTGTTTTCCCCTTCCAGTACTGGTATCCCAGCTGCCTCATCAGAAGAACCTATCCTGGAACGAGGTTTCTCAGAAATGCTATCCGATATATCACCGACAGATACCTCACCCAAGCCACATTCTGCTTCAGTCAAATTTTCTTCCATCTGTCCAATCTCCAAAGTCTTAGAAATGCCAAGAGACGCACCAGAAGTTCCTAAATTAATTCCATCAACATCAGTATTTGAAGTAGATTCTTCTAAATAACCCGCCTCTTCAAAAGGAAGTCTGTCACCAGCTGCCGCTACAGGATCAGAACCTGAAACAGAAGCGTCAGATGGTTCCGCTGTATCTTTCTTTAGATCCAGTTCAAAAGTTCTAGATTCCCTGATCGTGGTGAAAGAATCAGCAGCTGGAGCTGAATGAATGCCTACAGCACCATTTGATAATGAATGCCCAACATCTGTCAAATTGTTGCCCAATACAGTCTTTGGAGAAAGCACAATCAGGCATTCCGTATCTTCTATCTGTGTCACCCATCATAGCAAAATTTGTTAGAATAAAATCAAATTAAGTAAGCATTTTCATTCAAAAAGCAAAAACTGAAGAAGAATGACAAAAGTTAGGAGAGAAATTACCTGTTGTTGAGAAAGCTTAAGCTCCCTTTTACTTGATCCTTTTTGGTCATCATTCAGAAATTCGGACCTTAAAGCTTCCTCTTTCCAGCCATCTTTGACTGCCACAGCAGATGCAGAACTCCCAACAGAAGTAGGAGCCAAAGAAACACCTTCAGACTTATTAACATGCCCCGAAACCATTGAAGATACTCTTGTCAAGTTCTTATCAGTTGTAGAGGAAAAAGAATCAGTTAGAGGCGCTTCATGACTTTTATCCTGAATTGTAGTTGTATTTTGTAAGACAACTTCCTTGATCTTCGGTTGAGGAGCAACAGGAACATCCCCAGTTAATTTAGACTGCCTTGGTGATTCCGGCCTAGTGATTGGCATGCTAATTCTTACTGATGGAGTTCCAAGTTTTTCTGAAGCTGAAAGTATAGAAGGCTTGATTGTCACTTGTGCTGGAGCAGTTACTGAGGCAGAAACTGATGATACATCTGATTTTACCGCTTCTGGCAAACCATGGAATGAAGGTGGAAGCCCTGGTCTGCCAACCAGAGCAGAGTTAAGAGCTGATGAATTCATGAATGAAATGGTTTGCCCATTTTGACCAACTGGATAGCCATATCTTGCAGGCTGTGGACCTGTAGTCATTTGGGTACTTGAGAGAGGAAGAGAAGAAGGGAAAAACATTGGGGAATGATTATAAACTGTTGGATAATAACTGATCTGTTGATTAAATGATGGAAGAGGTTGGGACTGAGATGTTGAATTTGGAAGTTGCCTTTTCCCCGTGGTGCCCGAATCAGTTTGTAAATTAATTCTTTTATCAAGTTTAAGCTCCTCATGAGTTTTTGGATCGGTTATCTTCACAGCCTTCCGTTGAGAAACCAAATTTCCAGGTTGTTGCTGATGAAATTGTGGATTAATGCCGACTCCCATGCTGCCTAACTGAGCAGGGAGTTGGTGACCTAACTGAGGTGTAAAACCCAAATTCTGTCCCTGGTGCAATATTGCCTGAGGTTGCAGCGGATGAGACTGAATATTAGGCACAAACAGCTGTTGAGGAACTTGGGAAACATTTCCAGCAGGTAATGTCATTGTCATTTGCAAGGAACTGGGTACAATACCCTGTGATGGAATCTGCAAGTTTGGACCACTAAATTGCACAGGAATTTGTGTCTGTTGAAAAGGAATATGCATTGGCATTCCACCTACGTTAAGAACAGAAGATCTTGCTGTTGATGCACCAGGAATTGAGGGAATGTGTATATGCATATCCCTTTTTAGATGGGTGGAAGGATGTGGTTCCCTGCTGCCAGCTTGATTAAAACCTACTGCATCTTTAACTGTCTGTTGCTGCTTCTGCTGTGTCAGTGGCTGTTGCAGTGGTGTTTGTTGCAATGCTGGTTGTGGTTTTGGGGCAGGAATAGGGGGTGAAGGCAAAACCTTAACCGAACCATGACGGTCCTGAATTACAGAGTAAAAAAAAATACACCAATTTATCTAGAATATTTTAAGATCATTTTCACTAATTTCAACTGTCATCATTTGGCACATAACTTCAATCAAGTTGAAGAAATATCCATTCTATAAGATATCGTTTTGATAACATCATGGAAATGCATGGTAAGATGTTGAACTTAAGCAAAATTTTAAATGAAAAATAACAAAATATCATATAGAAACCCCCATTAAAAGGGGCAACAACTCCAAATGTAAAAGCATGAGCAAGTAAAAAAAAAAGGTGATGAAATTTATACAGTTTGATTGCTTATATTCAATAATAACGATAATAACCAAACTGCAATAGAATTAAATCAGTATACCTGATCTCGTTTCTGCTCATCCAGGTTTGGTGGAGCAGAGCATGTTCTAGCAGGAACCTACATTTTCAAAAATGATGTAAACAACTCATAGTACTTGACATAACAAACAAACCAAAAAAATAGAACGGAATGTGAAATGGTCAGAAGAAACCAGGTGCAGAAATACCTGCATCCCATTCATAATCCCGGGACTTATGCTCCCAAACTGAAGAAATGGACCAGATTCATCCCCTGAAATAAATAACAGGAATTAACATAATAATTAAAGCTTAAGAAGTAGAGAAAAAGCATAAGAAGCAAAGCAAAATTTTTTAAGAAGGCAGATACATGAACTAAGCAGGATGCCCAAATTGAGTTGGCTCAAATTAGACAGAAAAGCGCAGTAGAAAAAAAGGCTAGAAAAAACGTAACGCAGATTGAAGATGTAAAAGTACCTGGAGCAGCAGCTGCAGAGGTAGCAGCCGGGGGCTTAGGAACAGCTCTGGGAATTTTATTATTACCAAACGAATCCACTGGCTTAGCGCTCCCTGATTCCAGTCCATTAGATGGCCCTGCAGCACAGAAAGCACATATATACATATTTCTTCAGTCAATCAAGCCATTAAACAATCGAAGCTTCAAATTCTAATTTAGAACTTAGGCACTTTTTCACGCTAGCACAAATTTTTAGTGCTTGAAGAAAGCGGTTACACCGATGGATACTGTAAACAACCAAAAATTTTCTTACCGCGAATTTTTTTTTTCTTCTTTCCTTTTTCCATTGCTCGCAATTTCCTTACTTTTTTTCTCGATGCGCGGTTGCCGCCTTCCCTGTTTGCTCGATCGCACCGACTTCGCTCCCTATAAATCGAGGCGGAAGGGGCAGGGTTTACAACGACTTCTCCCCCTTGCTCTCCCCTTCTTCCGACCTTCCTCTATCACGATTTCGCTCGAAGCCAATCACCTTCGAGCCCGAAACCCTTGCGATACTACTGCGACTGGAGCTAGCTGGGAAGGCAACAACGAGATCGTGGCATAGCAAGGCCACCGAAGCTCCTACCTTTCCCCTCCTCCTTCTGTCGGCGCCCACCCGAAACCATCGACGAAGGTAACCCACGGGTTCCACCCTCTCGCGCACTCCGGCTTCTATATCTCCCGCAAATCCATCTTCCACGGGATTCACTAAATCCCGACGTAAACCTAGGAGAAACGGGATTCAGGGGCTTCTAGGATTAAATGTCTTTTTTTTTTTACTATTTTATTTTAAATATTTAGCAAATAGTAAATGTTAAGTAAATTACTGAAAATTTTAGTAGAAAATGAGAAATTATAATTTTTCATATATCATAATAAAATAAAAATATAAAAAATTAAATACTATCTTGATTGCATTAATTTAAGTTAATTAAGCTTCTTATTTTTTATAATAATTTATTATATATACATATGCTCATACTTAAATTTTGTATCTCTATTAAAATAAACCTAATTTAATAAAAAAATAAATTTAATTTCATAAATATTTTATCTTATTTTATAATTTGTGCAGGATCAATAGTTGAACTATCAAATTCGTCGGAGTATCATATTTGTTGCCTTGAGGTAAGTAACTAAGTTTTATTATGTGGGATGAACGCACCCTTCCTGATTATGGGTGTTATCTTTGCTAACTGTATTAACTTTACTATTAATTGTAGCGTTGTGATTTGTACCATTCAAATCTTGTTCACATAGTTTCAATAATTTCTATTTTTGCTTGTAATGATTTTAATGGATGATTAGCTTTGTCTTATTTCTGCTTAGCCTCATGCTTAGTGTTCGCATTTCATTAATTTTTGAAATTTCATAATTGTTATAAATATTAGTTGACATTTTGCAGTTATATTCTGGTGTTGTGATTGTGATGCATGAAATATAACCAATATTATAATATTATTTTGTTGGTGTTATGCCCTTTTGTTATGAATAATCGGATCGACGAGTCTTTAAGAGAAATCAATGGATTTCCATGTAATTGGTGCCTACCTTTCTTTATTTATGGATGTCGTAGTAATCTGACTAATTATAAATATAATAATGTGAATATATTTGCTTATATTGAAATTATATAATATCAAATAGTGTGAAATGACTGATTATTCATATATGTACCAAAACACCTGATATTGTAGCATGTAAATATTAACATAAAAATGCATGTACTTATGATTATAAGCATATGTCAGTCCTTGCAAATTTTTTTATACATATAATAAATTGTTCATATTTATTGGTCATACAGCATGCCCCATTTTCATTACCCTTTATACTTTAATAAATAGTTGTTACTTATTGAGTTTGTTTTTCAAACTCACTCATTGATATTTTTATATAACAAAATTCACTCAATCACTTGTCGTGTAATCTCCACCGGAGCAAACTTTCCAAATTTAGATTTTGTATTAATATTTTTCAGTTTCGTTTGAGTTATTGTATTTTCTTTTTAGGTTTGGGTGGTTGTTCTATATTAGCATTTCTATTTTAATTCAGTAAGTCTTCTATTATCAGTCTAGTTGCATCTTTAAATTTTTTTAGTATTTATAAAAGTTATAGTTTCTCTTTTATTTGCAATGCAAGTCTTTCTTTAAAATGACAATACAAGTTCAAACCATTTTCTCACGTCTTATGTTGTCGGGGTGCAATGCTTTCCAAACTTGGGGTGTAATTGATACCATGTGAAGGCGTCGTGTCATGAGATCCATTTGGTACAAACTGGTTTCCTGCTTTTGAGTTTGAATTAATCAAATTCATCCTTGTTTGCTCTCCATGTTCATTAATAGATTTCTTGACACTAAACCAATAAGATTCGAGAAAAATGTTAAAACCATACTAGTAGAGAACCCCAATCAGTCAAACAGTTCTTCTACAAAAACTAATAAAGGTATCATCTTCTAAGAGTCAAAAACTTGAACGACGCCGATGAAGGAAAAAATATTAAGTCCATAGTCCATACGCAGAGCTGTGTCCGGACAACAGACGTGATACCGCAAGGCGGAGCGAGAGCTCAGACCTCTGTTGTATCACGTCCATTGTCTGGATGCAGCTCGCACCCAGACTCCAGACATAATATTTTTTTCCCGATGAAGGGGGTAAAACTAAGAAAGACTGAAGCACGGGAGCTGCGGCAGAGGGGCCACCACCCTAGAATCATGTGTTCTTCTTTAAACTACTTGAAGAATTGGGTTTTCTAAGATGCCCCTCAGCCTTGTCAACCCTTGATTTACTATGGGACATAAATCTAACTCACACTTCCTCTCATTCCGCAATTCCTAAGAAACAAGATATATAGTTAAAATAGGGATCAATATCCAATCTAATATACAAAGATGCAACAAGCTTGTTGGAAAAGCTGAATCCATACCTGGGAAATATAGTGAAAGCAAAAGAGTAAGATTAGGGTTTCCTCGGTCGTAAACGCAAGTATTGTTGAAGATGCTATTGGATTTCGTAACGCGTGCTGGAGAAGGAAGAAGAAAGAAAGACTGACGACATGAGTCGAATAAGGGTTCCTTCTCCCGGATGAGACGATAACGAAAAGAAGAGTGATGACAAAAAAAAATTGAAAAAAGGGCTAGAGAGAGTGAGGAGAGTGAAATTAAAAAAAAATGAAATATACAGAATAAAACCTACTGGGGATTGATAATAGCACAAAACTAGCTGCAAGCTTCATTCTAATGTTTAATTTTGTCAAAATTGTTAAATTTTCAAATAATGTTGATAATACTCCAACATATTTTTATCATCAGTTAGGAATCTCGAGGCATAGCATGGATCTCAATGTAATCTTTTGAGCAAGAAATATTCAAATCTCAATAAAAAGTAATACAAAATTATAATTTCAGCAAACTTATAGTCAAACTGACATACCCAATGAGACAGATCCAATGATATCAAAATTTATGTAATCTGAGTCAAATCAAGCGCATATCAAGTCATTAAACCACTATCGTAAGTTTTCCAAGACATGTTTAGAAGGTCAAATGAATATCAAATCTAGTAAGTCTATAGCCAAATCGAGCGTCTCGACAAGACAAATCCAATGAGCTTAAAATTTCTTAATTCTAACATCATTAAGACACTTAAACGTCCATCAAATGTCATTTGATAGAAGGATGCTCTTCGAACCGTCCAATCAAAGTGGTTCATATTCCTGCATTAATAACACCCATAACACTATAAATAGAGTCCACCCCTCTTATGGAAGGGAGGAGAGTTTAAGAACTGATAAAAACTTGAAGCTTTGAGAAGGAACTGAAGTCCAGAACCACCACTATCGATTGTCGTCAACCACCACTATCAACCATTGTCGATCACTACTGACCATTATCAACCATCATCGACCGTCGTCACACACAACTCCCTTTGAGGGCTATTCTACAAAAATCAGAAGCATTCAGAAGATTAGTTAAATGGTTAATAAAATTGGAAGAGTTTAAAATTCGTTATCTACCACAACCAAATATCAAATCACAAGTGTTGGCCAACTTTTTGGTAGAATGTACATTGTCTGCTTCTGATGAGCCACCTTGTTCTTCTCCATTGTCATCTTAGTGGACATTGTACATGAGCAGAGCGTCCAAAAACTCTAGAGATGGTGTTGGAATGCTACTTATTTCCCCAAGTAAGACATCTTAGAGTACATGCTCCAATTGAAATTTTCAGCCACCAATAATGTTGTCGGGTATGAAGCCCTCATCGCCAGATTAAAACTCATAATCAGCTGTGAAGTACAAAATATGATTATCTACACTAATTCTCAGCTCATCGCATCCCAAGTTGAGGGAGAATTTGATTCTCATAACTTACAATCGGTGCAGTGTCTCAGTCCGGTGAAGACACTTCTCACCCGAAGTGAAACATACCAGCACATTCACATACTTTGGGAGGAGAACATTCAAGTTGAAGCCTTCTCCAAGCTCACTACTTCAACAACCAGGGATCTCTTTAAAAGAAGGTGCATTGAGGAAATACATTTTCTCAGAATCAAAAGCTCTTGGGTGATATTGCTTATAGATGAACCAAATGAGCCATCTTGGATGGATCTCATCATCTCCTTCCTCAGAGACAAAAAACTGCTTGATGATGCTACTGCGTCAATTTGCTTTTGGCGCAAGGTTATCAACTTTATCCTTATTGAGGATAAGCTATATAAAAAGTCATTTGTACGTCCATACCTCAAGTGTCTTCCCTCATCTGAAGTTGATTACGCTCTGCGGAAGGTTCATTCTGGAATTTGTGGGAAGCATCTTGATGGTAGAGCTCTTGCCCTTAAAATAATGAGAAAAGGTTTCTACTAACCCAAAATCAAGCAAGATGCATTGGAATTTATGCAAAAGTGCAAGATTTATCAACTAAACTTCAATCTTACGCATGCACCGCTGGTAGAACTCATGTCATTTTGAGTCCTTAGCCTTTCGCTCAATTAGGGGTAAATATCATGGGATCATTTTGAATAGCTACTGGACAACAAAACTTAATCATCTTAGATGTCAACTACTTCACCAAGTATGTAGAATCATAGTCGTTCGCTAAGATCACAAAAGCCAATGCCAAGCAGTTTATCTGGAAAATATATTGTCTATCGTTTCGGGCTCCCCGTGAAAATTATCACTGATAATGAGACTCAATTATCTGGAATGGACTTTTACATAATTTTGAAAGGATCTTCACATTTATCTGGTGCAGACTGCCATGGCACAACCTTAAAAGAACAAACAGACAGAGGTGACGAATCAGACAGTGCTAGAGGGTTGAAGACTCATCTTGAGAAGGTTGCGAGGTAGTGGATGGAAGAGCTTCATAACGTCCTCTGAGTCTATCGCACCACCTCGTGAACTCCAATCGGGGAAACTCTATATAACTTTTGTTTCGACACCGAGTCTGTCATCCCAGTTGAAATCAGAGTTTCAAGCCCTTGAGTTAAGACTTTCGACTTGAATAACAACAAGGAAAAGCTTCATCGGCATTTGGATCTGCTCCTAAAGACATGCAATGTGGCCTAGCTTAGAGTTGCTTTCTACTGCCAAAGTATTGCTCGCTACTTCAATTGAAGAGTCAAGCCTCAACCTATCTCTATCGGTGACTTGGTCTTGTATACTATTGAAGCCGTCGATCGGTCTACAACTCAACAAACTATCCCCCCTCTAGGAAGGCCCATATATCTTCGCTACCAT